AATAAATGTCATTTTATGTATACTGCTGCACTATGGGTTTTGACATTTGATTTTGCATACTGGTCTGGAAGATATGAAGAACTGTAGAGAAAAGGTAAAATTGGAGATGAAACAGAGGATTTAAAGGCACATACTTATTCACAGAGGGCAAGGTGCATGCCCAAAGGGGAAGTGAGGAGCATGTTTAAGAGTTGGAACACTGGAGGTTGGACGGTGCACTTTATACACTAAGAAGAGTGTGAGATGTATTGTTGAGGAGATACACATAGTTTGCATGCACAGATTTAATTTCTGGAAGGTAAGAGTATTTATTGCGAATAGTGGTTGATATTGATTACACGGTGAATCATAATTTTGGAGCACACTATGGTCCTTGTAAAGTGAGAACATGGATATATCTCACTATAGAGATAATTGGAACATTATTATTATACAGTATTTATATAGCGCCAACGGTTTGCTCAGCGCTGTACATTATAATGGGAGACAGTACACGAGACAGTACAGTAACAATACAATACAATACACGAGGGGTTTGAGGGCCCTGCTCCTTGGAGCTTACAATCTAGGAGGGAGGGGAGAGTGGTACAGAAGGAAATAGCTGTGGGGGATGGAGTGGTGGGAAGAGCGGAGGAGATCAGCAATTAGGTGAGGGCAGGGTAGGCTTCTCTGAAAAGATGGGTTTTCAGGGTGTGCCTAAAGGTGAGAGGGAGGTGACAGTCTGATGGATTGGGGTAGTGAGTTCCAGAGGATGGGGGAAGCCCTGGAGAAGTCCTGGAGACGGGCATGGGAGGAGGAAACCAGGGAACTGGAGAATAGGAGGTCTTGTGAGGAGCGGAGAGTGCGTTTTGGGTGGTAGATGGATATCAGGTCGGTGATGTAGTTTGGGGCAGTGTTATGAACAGCTTTGTACGTCAATGTTAATATTTTGAATTTTATGCGTTGGGCAATCGGAAGCCAGTGGAAGGGATTGGCAGAGGGGGGGTGGCGGATACGGAGCGGTTGGTAAGGTGTATGAGTCTGGCAGCAGAATTCAGGATAGACTGAAGCGGGGATAGCCTGTGTTGGGGTAGGTTGGCAAGGAGGGAGTTATAGTAGTCAAGTTGGGAGATGATAAGGGAGTGAATAGTTGCTTTGTAGTTTCTGGAGTTAGGAACGTGCATATTTTGGAGATGTTGCGGAGGTAGTCTGCATGCATTTGGAAAGAGATTGGAGTCTAGCATGAGGTGGTACTCTGCATGCGGGGTTTGTAAGCGTCGTGATGGATCTGGGCGCGGGCTGGGGGGAAAGGACAGATTGCAAGTTTAATGACACCTAGTGACATCTCTGGCTATGTGGGGTGGGGCTGATGGTGATTTGTTGGTCGAGATGGAAAGGAGTGAGGGGCACGGGCTAGGGAGAAAACTAGAGCTCGGTTTCATCGGCATAGAGATGGTAGTTTGAGCCGTGGGTGACATCCAGTCAGTATGACGTTCAAAAGGCTAGTGAGGTCTGGTGGAGACTGAAGGGCCCGAGGACAGAAGCCTTGGGGGACACTAACAGAGAGGGGGAGTGAGGGGGAGGTGGCAGCTTTATAGGTAACACTGAAGGAGCGTTGAGATAGATAGGAAGAGATCCAGGAAAGAGCGGAGTCTCTGAGGCCAAAAGAGTATAGTTTTTTGAGGAGGAGGGGGTGGTTTTGACCGTGTCGAAAGCCGCGGAGAGGTTCGAGGAGTAGTAGCACTGAATAGTGGCCATTGGCTTTGGCGGTTAGCAGGTTGTTGGTGAGTTTGAGTAGGACGGTTTCGGTAGAGTGTAGGGGACGGAAGCCAGATTGTAGGGGATCAAGGAGGTTGTTGTCGGTGAGGTGGGAGCTTAGGCGATTGTAGGCTAAGCGCTCAAGGAGTTTGGAAACTCCTTGATGGAAATGGCAGCAGGGAGATGGTCTAAGGTTGTTTAGGTGGTGGGATCCAGGGAGGGTTTTTTAAATATGGGAGTGATGTGTGCGTGCTTCAGGGGGGAGGGGAGGGGAATGTGGCAAGTAGAGAGGGAGAGATTAAAGATGTGAGTGCGGGAGCGTAGGATGGAGGAGGAGGGTGATCGTAGGAGTTGTGTGGGGACAGGGTGAAGGGGACAGGTGGTAAGGCGAGCTTCGGAGAAGACCTTAGTGACTCTTCAGTGATAGCAGGGTCGAAGGAGTGGAGTGTTGAGGGGGTTTTAGTGTGAGGAATGTTGGGTGGGGTGGAGTCTGGACAGTGGCGAGGTCGAAGGAGAGGAGTGTTGAGGGGATTTTCATGTGAGGGATGCTAGGTGGGGCGGAAGTCTGAGCAGTGGTGATGTCCCTGTGAATTACGTCGATCTTGCTTTGGAAGTGGTTAGCAATCTCATGGGCGGTGATTGAGGTACTGGGTGAGGTGGGGGCAGAGAGAGCATAGAGTTGAAGGTGTGAGAAGAGCCGGCGAGGGCTGGAGGAGAGGGTATTGATGAGGGTTACAAAGTAGGCTTGCTTGGCAGCATGGAGGGAGGAAGTGTAGGTGAGGAAGGTGGATTTATATCGGGTGAACGCTTGTTGGGATCTGGTTTTGCGCCATAGCCGCTCTAGCGTGCGACTGAGTCGCTTGAGGTTTTTGGTGTGGTCATTCTGCCAGGGTTGAAGCGGTCGGGGTCTAATGTTTCATGTGGTTAGGGATGCTAAGGAGTCAAGAGCGGCTGACAGCGAGTTGTTATAGACAGTAGTGGCCAGGTCAGGGGCAGGACAGGGGAAGGATACTGTCGTAAAGTTGGTCAGCTGCAGAGTGGAAGGGGGCAGGGTCCAGGTTGCGGAGGTTTCGGCTGGTGATGGTTTGACGCTTGGAGGGGTAGGTGTAAGAGGACGAGGAGACGGAGAAGGTGATGAGGTTGTGGTCAGAGAGGGGAAAAGGGGTGTTTGCGAGGTTGTGGGGGGTGCAGAGATGATAGAAAACAAGGTCCAGGATGTTCACGTCGGAGTGGGTGGAGGACTGTATGCACTGTGCGAGTGCAAAAGAAGAGGTTAGGTGGAGGAGTTGGGATGTGGCGGGGCTATTGATGTTGGTAGGGATGTTGAAGTCTCCAAGGATGATGGTGGACAGCTCGAGGAGAGAAAGAAGGGTAACCAAGCGGAGAGGTTGTCGAGGAAGCGAGATACGGGTCCAGGGGCCGATAGATTACTGCTATCCTCAGGGGGATTGGAGATAATAGTTGGATGCAGTGGGCCTCAAAGGAGGAGAAGGATAGAGAGGGAGGGTTTGGGAGGACTTGGAAGGTGCTCTGCGGTGACAGGAGCATACCAACCCCACCACCTTTTCACTGCTGGGTCTGGGTGAGTGGGTCCAGGTGAGACCTCCATGGGAAAGTGCTGCAGGGGAGGTAGAGTCGGTGGTTTAGATCCAGGTTTTCGGTGATCACCAGGAGGTTGAGGTAGCGGGAGACAAAGAGGTCATGGATGGTGGTAAGTTTGTTGCAAACTGAATGGGTGTTCAGGAGTGCACACGGAAATGGAGGGGTGGTTTTGGGGAGCAGGGGGACCGGTATTAGGTTGAGGGGGTTGCGGCAGTTCATGGAAGTAGGTAGGTGCCTTGTGGGTGAGTGAGGTGGAGGACATCTCCCCAAACCCTGGTTCTCTACTACACTATATTGGTTATTTTTTATTTTTGAAGAGTACGAGCAGTGGAGTGGACGGAAAAAGAAGAGGAGAAAAGGAATATTGAAATATATACAACGTGTGCTTGATATGAAGAATCTGGTGAGAAAATATGGAGATCTATAACTCTGCCGGGATTGAAGGATAAACTGTGCACTGGTTTTATATATAGAATTGTTTGCTCTACCCAGGGAGGCAGTTTCATTCTCAGCTGCATGATTATTTTACTTTTGGAGCTTGTGGCAATAAGAAGACTTAATAGCTAAAGACCTCCAAACTTTGTGTGGCCTTCATATCAGCACAACAGTGTATAGAGAGCTTCATGGAATGGGTTTCCTTGGCTGAACAGCTGCATCCAAGCCTTACATCACCAAGTGCAATGCAAAGCATCAGATGCAGTGGTGTAAAGCACACCACCACTGCACTCTAGAGCAGTGGAGATGTGTTTTCTGCAGTGATGAATCACGCTTCTCTGTCTGGCAATCCAATGGACATGTCTGGGTTTGGCAGTTGCCAGGAGTATGGTTTTTACCTGACTACATTGTGCCAAGTGTAAAGATTAGAGGAGGGGGGATTATGGTGTGGGGTTGTTTTTCAGTGGTTGGACTTGGCTCCTTAGTTCCAGTGAAGGGAACTCTTAAGGAGTCAGCATACCAAGACATTTTGGACAATTTCATGCTCCCAACAGTTTGGGGAACATTTGGCCCATTCCTTTTCCTACATGACTGACTGTGCACCAGTGCACAAAGCAAGGTCCATAAAGACATGTCATCCATGAGCGAGTTTGGGGTAGAGGAACTTGACTGTCCTGCACAGAGTCCTAACCTCAACCTGATAGAACACCTTTTGGATTTGGGAGCAAAAACTGCAAGCCAGGCCTTCTCGTCCAACATCAGTGCCTTACCTCACCAATGTGCTTCTGGAACAATGGTCAAGCATTCCCATAGACACGCTCCTAAACCTTGTGGACAACCTTCCCAGAAAAGTTGAAGCTGTTATAACTTCAACTCACTATCGAACCCTATGGACTAAGACTGGGATGCCATTTAATTTCATGTGCGTGTAAAGGCCAATATTTTTGGCAATATACTGTATGTGTCAGATATAGCAAATCATCATGGAACAAAATGCCCAGGAATAAGAAGTGAGTGAGATCTGTCCATAGAGGAGCACATGTAAGTGACCATCAAGAAAGATTATCTGTAAGATCTGTAAGATCATTCCAATAATAAATGCAGATACATTAAAAAAAACAAAAAAAAACACCAGTAAATAAAAGGTAATTGAATTTCTTTTCTTGTAAAACATAGGGCATAAAAAATTGATATTAAAGAAGACACAGATGCATCAAAATAATTACCTCCATAAGATTTCATTGCCTTCACTAAGTATTCAGCTTCTTCACTAATCTTGTCTTCTATAGCTTTTTTTCCCATCCCATAATCTCTTAGTGTTGAAAGAGTGAATCTTCTCATTGCTTTCCAGCTCTCACCATTAGAAAAAATAACACCTAAACAAGAGAAGTGTAATATTTTCTTTGAGTCAAAAAATATAACTGTTAGATACAAATGCTGCCCAAAATACAGTTCTGGGACTGTTGATAGAAAAAAACAAATGGTCCCTATTGTTTATTTTTTCTTCTCTAAAGAATTTAACTTTCCATTGAATGCAGGAAACATGCATTTTCTTAACCTGTTGGCGCTGACTGTATGCAAATATATGTCTGTTTGGCGGCTCGGCCTTGACGTGTACCTAAAAAAGGCACTGCGTGCTCCCGGCACGCTCCCCCAGCACATTTACCGGTGCCTCAGAGAAAGGTCCCGATTGATACTTGCCGATAATGTTACTGCTGTGACAGTCAATCACGGTGCTCACATAATCCTAAACCCCACCTCTCAGTGTCACAAACCCCTTAAAAGGGCCGGGAGGCCCTGGCGCCAAGGGGTTAAAGGATATATAAACCCAAGGACATAAAACATTGAATATGTTGCCTACTAGTCTCCACTCCTTAGATGTGGTGGTTGTGTTAGTTTTATTTTTCCCAGACTTTTTTCTTTTATTATTACCTGGTTATTCTGTCAGTACTACAATTCCTTTCATAGGAAGAAAATGCCCACTTACTGTACTGTATCTTTGGAGAAATGGTGTCACGCTAGGACAGGATTGCAGGCCCCCTTCCCCCTGCATCTCTTTGCAACATAAGGGAAGGGGTTCTGTAGGCAACAGATATAGTTGAAAACATTGCTAACCAGGGGTGGACTGACAACTCATGGGGCCCCCCAGGCAATAGGGGATCATGGGGCCCCTGTGTCCTTGCCCAAAACTCAAAAAAGCCTATGAAAAAAGTACCAGGGGCATCTCATGGGGCCCCCTACTGACCCCGGGCCCTCGGGCAGTGCCCGAGTTTCCAAACGGTCAGGCCGGCCCTGTTGCTAACTGATAACAGTGAACACAAAGTTATCAGCCTACTAGATTCCTGGCAGGATCAATGGGTAGTGTTTGGACCTTATGGGAAAAGTGCAACAGAAAACAAGTAAATATCACTCAGAATAACCATATTAGTTGCCATTTACTAAAGATGAAAAAATGGTTACCATTATCTTTTGTTGTTTTAGAAAATATTGCCAACTTTGGTCTGTTAGAAAATTCTTCGCCATAGGTGAGTAGAGCATCTTTAACAGTGTCATAGCCGCACAAGATGATGACTTTTGCCATTCCAAAATGAATAGTTAATACTGTGCCATACTTCTTAGACAGCTGGAAATGAAACATAGAGTAGAAGATATGGTTATAGTTCTAAAATTAAAGAAATTCCCTACTATGCTTAAACACGTATTTAATTTTTTGATGTCTGCATGCAAAGGTCTGTTGAACATAAAAAAAACTAATTTTGTGAAAAAACATTTGTAAATTCATTGCAATAAATGTAGTTCACCTGGAGGTAATTATTTTTCTCTCTAAAAAATTGGAGTAACAATTTAGTGGCTTTTGTGCACTTGTGGCAGACACAGAAATGAACCTACTACTACTTGTGGTGTTCATTGTATGTAAGTTCCTCATTTAACGGGTCTGTCCCTCTTTTAAAACCAAATCCCTTGTTCAAATTTAATGTCAGTTGTCACTCTATTTGCTCAAATATAAATCTGTAAAATGTACACTTTAATTAAAAAAAGTATTATATAACTTTTTAAGTAACATCTAAAATTATTACATTTTTAAGTCAGGAATAAAGTGGTGAAAAAACCATTAGTGTGTTTTACTGATCATTTTTTGTCATGCTAATTCTCCCTAGTTGGCATAATTGCAGCATCCTCCCCTGCCAGAGGGACTAGCAAGGAGAAGAAACAAAAACTGTGTGCTTGACGTGTTGAAGTTCTTCAGTCCATCTTCTTCTAGGCATGGCACTGCACAATGTGAAGTAATCTCTTTGGTACCTGCTGCTTATTAGATTAATACCTACACTCTGGTTTGCTATCTGGAATCCAGTGGCAAACTTTAATTCTGTGAATTTGGTTTGTTGTCCAGCATTCAAAAAGATAGGCAGAGAGAAGCAATGAGTAAGTCCCAGCAATAGGAAGATGGTCAGGTAGGTCCTTCCTCCTATGGCTATAGATCTGGTATGCTTTCTACAAAGGCAGGCACTAATCAGCATCAATAACTGTCTAAAGCCCAACTATGGTGATCCAGTTTGAGCTCTGGAAATATATGAGATGATACCAATGTTGCTGGCGTTGCCAAAAGAGATCAAGCATAAGAGTGTGGGGATTTGGTGGAATGTGGTAGAAAACATAAAACTAGTAGACTGTGCAGGTACAGCAGACTGTAGGAGTTTTTGTGAGACAAGTTAGTCATGTGGCACTGTGGCAAGTTGGCTTACAGATATAATATGCAACAAACTCAAGAGAGGGCCCAGACTATTTATTTAACTAGAAGCCCTATGCTCTTTATATTCAGCACTACAAGACAGTTCATAAGGTGGAAGAAATGCCAACCAAATTTTTTATCTTGATACCTGTTTTTAAAGTGTTAGTTCACCTTTACAGAAAATCTGTAAGGTGACCTAACACTGGACTCCCTCACCATCCTCCTGGACATAGGATCAGCCCCGTGATCCTATGTTTTCAGGCAACAGCATGCAGCTCCACCAGTCCAGGGATTTAAAATCCCAGTGGCTTTCTTTCCTCTCATTGCAGTTCTGACAGACGGGCAAGATGAAATCTGATTTGTCAACGCTATCCACAGTGCTGACCAATTAGAATACCTATGTTCCAAACTGGCTGAGCAGTATGGAGAGGAGACCAGTGGAGCAGCATGCCGGTGCCTAACAGCGCAGGAGCATGGAACTGAAGTGCAGCAGAACTGGGGGGGGGGGAAACTAACACTTCAAAAAATTATCAACCTTGACAGCAAGAGAACATTTGTGAGTTTGGCAAAATGGCTGTATTACCTCCATAAATGTTTTGTAAGGCTGTTTCATGTCAAGCATATGCAGATTTCCAATTATGGGTAATGGTTTGGGCCCAGGAGGCCAGTTCTTGTGTTTATGACTTTTCTGTTTGTTGTAAACAATGGCCAAGAAGAGGATGACCACGGTGGATAAAAGGATTGTGATAAGTTCCATGGAGAAGGTGTTGCCAATCAAATCTAAGGAAATAAAAACAAAAATACAAGAGTGAATAGAGTAGGGAAGAATTTCAACCTCTGTCAATTTTTTACTGCTGTCTTTGTTCTTGTGTAGATGTGCCTTCATTGTTTGCCCTAGTGACCACAGTCACCAAAATAGGTAGTAAATGGAAAAAATACATTTTAGATATGTAACTAGAAGAAGAGCTTCTATGCAGGTATTAGCACCCATTTTAGAGCTATCTCTACCCTGGGTGTATACTGTGGGTGGAGTCTGTACCCCTTGTACCCCAATGTTACTTCCACAGGTTTGTAACCTGTGGAGAAGAGGGCCTTCCAGGCCTAGCCCCAAGAAAAACTATGTGGCCCGAACACACTTGTATGATGGATGATATGCCACTGTCCCCTGTAATAGAGAGCCCACTATCTGGATGATGGAGTACAGGGGGTACCTTTAGACAGCAGCATTGCCAGTCTAAGGGAAATGTTAGATGTACCAGTCTAGGGGAAATGTTAGATGTACTAACAGATTTAAATACACTAAAAATGGAAAGCTAAACTTCAGCTAATACTTTTTAAGCACTTACAGCAAGCATTGTTTTCCTTTTGGGATTTGCATTAAAAAAAGCTGATCATTTTAAGTAACCCTGCCATTGTTAAATGGCTTGTTCATTCTGTTACTGCAAGAGAGCTTGTTCTGTGGAAAAACAACAGACTTAATGATTGCACTAATCAGATATCCTGACCGAGCTGCAGCAGGTGGGAGGGAAAGGAAGGGAAGCAAGCAGCGCTGCAGGAAGGGGGCACCTGGGAATCTCTGGAGCAGCAGAACAGTATGAGGGCCAGAGCAGCTGGGGGGCATCTATTATTTCAGTTGATTCCCCTGTAGCCCCCTTGAAGCACATAAAGTTAGAGGGGAGAGGAGTAGAAGCCGTCAGCTGCAAGGGAGTCACAGAGGGACGGCTGGGCAGGGAGAGGAGGAAAACGGGCGGCCGTGATGTGAATCTCTTATCCATTGTGCGGTATGTGACAGGGTACATGGGAACTCATGCAGGTGAATGTGGGAAGATGGCTGGATTATCTGAGTTGAATTGGTGGCACTGATGTGTTCTGCATTGCTTATCTAAAATGTAAAGTTGGAGAGCTTTTGTGCAAAGTTGTTAACTTGGCACATTGCAGTAAAGTGCCGAAAGGCTACTTGTGTAGCTAATTCCTTCATTCGTGGAGAAGGGCCTCAAGCCTGGAGCATGTGAGGCACAGTATGGTTGGATTTCTCCTTTTATAGGTGTATGCATACCCTATTACAAGAAGAAGAAAGGAGGAACATTTGGCTAGCTTGGAGCTAGTGGTGAATCAGGGCTGACAACACTTGGTGAGAACATCACTGCCTGATGAAGATGTGTCAACCTCCCTGGTTAGAGTCATGATGGGAGGCGGGACTGAGCACAATGTGAGTTGGTTGCTGCAGCGATTATGCTGAATTCACCTGCTGTATGCACACCCTGTAAGCATCACTCACACATGGAGGTATGCTGTTGCAGAGCTGGTAAAGCCCTGGTTTACACTGCTACACTACAAGGGCTTTACAGTGGTCATTGGACTGAGAGGGACTCCATGGAAAGTATTGGCCATTTGCCACACAAGGGTGGTCTAGATTACTGTACCTATCTGCTCTAACTGTGTCCAATTGACAGTGACAGGGGCACCCTGTGTTGATGGTAGGGACTGTCTGGAATTCTTTTTTGAGGTCCTATCAGACAGAGAGCTTTCCTGTGAGAAAAAAAAAATGCCTTGGGAGGAACACACTCTGTGGAAAAAGGTTATCTCTTCAGTGGACCGTATGGTGCAACTG